CACATCATGAATTAAGAAAATGTACAAACCCAATTCACTGGATATTCCCCTGACTGTACACAATCACCTATTTGGTGTTACAATACTTAATTTGGAGCTGTAGAAGAAATTGGAGACCTTTTCTGTTTTAGTGACAAACCAGCAGTAGGTAAGAGAACCTGGGTTGTGCAGCACTATTGTGATTTAGCTTAAAAGCCTCCTTGAAAACGATACTACAGTCAATACAAGAAATGTTATTTTCTACATTGAATCCGTCTTTCTAAGAAATGGACTGAAGGTTAATGCTATTTTTTTTTGTCTGTGCATAGAATGCAATGTAAATTTCAGACATCCTGTAATTAATCAACAAATTCTCTCCTGGCTATATAGCTCAAGTAATCAAAGTTCAGTAATAACTTATTCTTTCTGCTCCAGCACCTGCATTTCATTTGTTTATTTTCACAGTCTTGGAAATCTGAGGGACTGTCAAAGTGCCATAATATTACCACAATAATCAAAGTTAATTAGGCCCTCTCAATAAACAACAACCAAGCCATTACGGAAATACAGTCAAGGCTTTTTCTCCGTTGGTTGGTGGACACATTAAATTGTTTTTCTTACAAAAACCCCAAAAAAAGAGAAATTATTCTTTTAGAAGTGACAAATGACAAGGATTTGAAAAGTACTTATAGACACAATCTGCTCCCACTTATTGATGAACCTCTGCTAGAATTTTTCCAAGATTTAAGCGTGACCTGCTTGGATGCAACTTGCCACAGATCATGGCATCTAAAAGGCTGTCTGATTCTTTCTCTGCTGGGAATGTAGGATTATTGTTAGCTGAAGTGCAGGCAAACACCGAGGCAGTTGAAATATACTGTATAGGGGTTTACTGTTGTACCTGCCAAGGGATGTGTAGCTCTGCTCAGGCAGACTTGTCATTCAAGAATCTGACACACAACACAGTAAGTCCTCGTTCACACCACAGGTGTTTGTAGCTCGTATTTGTCCGCACCGGAGAAGAGGAAACAAGAAATCCTATTGATTTCAATAGCCCCCGTTCACGTCTCAGCATAGCTTCTCGCTGAGAAAAAAAGCCGGTCGCTGGAAAAAAGTACATGAACTTCTTTTTAAGGCAGATCAGTGAGATTAGGAATAGGAAAAAGGGTCACATTGTGCTGATCTCCCCAAAAAGAGGCCTTACTTAAAGACTTGTGCGGAGCCTTTCTATGCTGACAAATACGCGCTACAAATGCTGGCGATGTGAACAGGGACTAAGGGCCATTTCGCACCATCTGCGTTGGAATTGCGCTGCCCGTTGTTTCCAGCGCAGTCCCAATGCAAGACGAAGCAATTTGCCTTTTCACGTATGATGCCCATTTACACCAAAGTGTTGCAGTAGGTTGCTTTTTTCAATGCAGCGGGATGCAACGCGGTACAAGCTCCTCGCACCCTGTTGTGCCCATAGGACTGAAGGAAATGTCACTTGTGACATTTCAATAAAGTTCTAACAAACAAAGTGCTGGGATTAGCACTTTGGCACAGTGACAGGCACTGCACACCAAACGCTGTGTGATTAGCACAGCGTCTGATGTGAATTGGCCCTAAGGCAAGTGACTCTTATTTCTTGGCTTTTTGTGTAGCTTCTGCATTTACAGTTTAATACATGAACAATGATTCAGTATCATCACCTCTGCCTCTGTTTAGTGAACAGAGAAATGAGGAAAACCAGGATTTAGAAAAGTGATGTTCCAGGTTGTGCAGTACAGCAGGGGTTTGTGAATCACAAGACTGGCTGAACAATAATGCAAATCTTTCAACAAGAAAAACAAACATATATGTGTTTCAATTGTGTTTTCAGCTGTTTAAATAGGAAATAAACTCTGGAAGCTCGCAAAAAGGCAAAAGCAAAGGACTAGTCACAAGTATTGACTGCGGTCTCCCCGAATTTGTGCCAAAACGAAAGTTCTTTAGTTATTTTCCTTACAAGTGCAATTTTTTTTAACATCTTTCTGTAACATAACATTATGGGCACTAGACTGCGCGCCGGGAACATAGGAATTAAAAGAGCTATGGGGGTAACCTTTTTATCCCATAGTTCTCTTTAGGGTCATGGGAGGACATATACTAACGTCCTCCCGTAACTCAAAGCTCAGTATATAGCAGGCTATTGCCTGCTATATACTGAGAGCGCTGCAACCGGGACAGATCCCGATAATACTGTCGAAATCCACCCAGCTGGCTGATTGACAGTGGGCTCTGTTTATCTAGAGGCAGAGCCAGCTGTGCTTTCCCCCTCCCTGTCCGTTCCTCCAGTCAGTGCTGGAGGATCGGAGAGGGGAGGGGGGGAATCACTGACAGTCACTGCTCTCTGCAGAAAGATGATTGGGAAGTGAGCGAGTGGCGGTATGTGTTCGCTCACTTCCCGATCTATAGAGTCGACATGTCACAGTTTCTTTGTCACACGTCGGCTCTAACTATGAGGATGAGTGTAAATCACTCACCTCATAGTTCTCCTTTAAGTTTTTATTTCCTATGCTCCTCAGAGCCATCTAGTGGGCATAATGCAGCATTCCATGAAAAAAAAATGAATACATTGCCTTGTAGAGAAAAAACAACTAAAGAACGTTCATTTTGGCACACATCCGCAACACTAATATTCCCAGGATAAAGGACCCTGTTCGTAATTTGAAACTGACCCCTTAGACTGCACTGAACTTGATGAAAGAAGCCACCATAGGAAAACAGCTGTAAGTTCTAGATATCTTTGACCGTGGAACCCACAGTGGCCATTTCAGCTGCTATCCATTTCAGCTTGAATCTGCACTCATACATACACAGTTATAATGTCAAACTAATTAAATGTCTTTTGATTTGGAAAAAAAAAAAAGATTTTAAATATTTTGACTTACCCATTCGTCTAATATCTGCCTCTTGGCTTCGTTGGCTTTTTGGAGGTTTCTGCATGCCATGATAACCTGTGCACCATGGAGAGACAATGATCGAGCTGTTTCAAATCCTGGATGGGAAAAAAAAAACAGCCTATAAATCTTAGACATTAATTCGAAATGTGTTTTTCTCAATTTTTACTTTTTATGTTAAAAGAACCAGGTTTATTCATCAGGCAGTGCGCATAAGTACTTTATGTACATAAAGGGGAGTGTCTTCTAAACTAGTATTAGATTTTGGATTCTTTAACTTTTAGAAAGATTGAAAAAAATCAGAGATAAGAAATACAAACTTAAAAAAAGGAAAAATTGCAGGAAAAAATACAAAATCAAAATATAGTATAAATAATGTAAATGAAATGCAAAGCTATACATTACAATACAAATGTGTTCACTATGAAAATATATACATAAAGATATTGGTCATATTTATGAGCCATATACAGCATACAGAGATAAGAAAAAAAACACAATTTTCTCTGAAGGGAAAGTATAATGTATTTAACATGAGCATGTATTTGAGGTAATTTTACAATAGTAAAGAAAGTAAATCTTGATATACTCTGCAGCTGATCTTTTCCCCCATTACTGATTTTCCATGCCTTGTTCCACACTGTGTCTCTATGTGGAGACACAGTGTGGAGAACCATTTTAGGGGGCCATCTTAGTAGAAGCAGGACATCTTTATCCTTAAGCAGGCTTCCTTATATCAGAGCTGTCCACCTGATGATTGGTGGGCTAATGACTGGTGGAGAAATATTCCAGAAGCAGCAGGAAAGATGGAGTAAGCTCAGATTCACAGAATAAATATAGCAGAATCTGGGAGATCCTTGCACTGTATGTCCTTGAGTACATTTTCTTTTGCAACAAGGAGAACAATGAGCAGCACAGCAGTGGCATCATCTTTTTAAGATGTTGTCAGGCCTTTCACATGAGGGGTGTTCTTCAGATCTTCTCCAGTGGTGGGCAGTCCTTAAAGGAGAACTATGAGGTGAGTGATTTCCACTCATCCTCATAGTTAGAGCCGGTGTGTGACAAAGAAGCTGTCACAGGTTGGCTCTATCGATCGGGAAGTGAGCAGAAACATGCAGCGATTTGCTCACTTCCCGATCTCTGCCCCTGTGATCTCTCCTGACTTTCCCTCTCCGATCCTCCAGCGTTGAGTGGAGGAACAAACGGGGGAGTGGGAAAGGACAGCTGCCACTGCCTTTAGATAGGCAGAGTACAATAGTACATTTTCTCAGTTTAAACATATATGTTTTCTATTGTGAATAAAATATGAGTTTATGAGATTTGCAAATCATAGCATTCTGCTTTTATGTAGACTGTACACAACGTCCCAACTCTTTGGAATTGGGGTTGTACTTATCCATGCATTTGCATGCTGGCTGGTGAGTGTGCCTGAAAACTTTTTGCTGTTTTACTGTTTGAAGCCCTCGTGTGTGCACCTTGCTGTAAAGCTGGTAACAAATTGATGAGTGTGGGTGCCATTTGTTTTGCTTCATTGATTTGGTGCAGTGACGCATGGGGGGGGGTCTCAGCTGCCATTGTGATGTGCGGGGTCCCTTGTGCATGCCTGTGCCTTTAAGTGAGGTTGGGCTTCCTTCTGACAAACCTGCACCCAATTTAATCTTTTGCCCCATGTGCTCCAAGATGGAGACTCTCATAGTTTAGAGTTAGGACCGCACTATATGGAGGTGCCTTGACGTGGCTGTGCGTCTTTCACATTTTCTGCAGAAGACGTGTATCTAAACCTCTGCTTTTAACCTTAGTGCTTAGACAGGTTTTTTGCATGCTGGCTGGTGAGTGTGCCTGGAAACGTTTTGCTGTTGTACATATACATAGGACTCTATAAGCATCTTCTCTTTTTTATAATAGATTGCAATGTGCAATTAGGAACAGACCGAGAGGCAGTTTTTTAAAAATGCATTTACATACAATGGAACCCTTTTTTTTTAGGACAGACAGTGTGCACATATATAATTTACAACTGATAATAAGACCTACCAGCACATACAGGGTTAATCATGGCAAACATAATTCCCCAGCCCTTGTTAAATTTACATAGAAAGAGAAAACTAGTTAGAATTTTTAACCAAATGAAAAGGTAAGCAGACATTTTAAAATATATTTTTCCAAGTTATGCTTTATCAATGGGAACATGTGACAAATATAAGTAAGTATTATCCTAAATTGGCTACAAAAGTGGAAATACACTTTAAGTTAAACAATGCAATAATAACTTAAAATACATACTCTTTAAAAATAGAGTAAGCTTTCCCTTTAAACAAATACACTTGGACCAATATTCCTAAGCAAGGCATTCAAAAGCACAAAACAATACTCTGCAAAGCCTAGTTTCTGGAATGCTGAGTTGCAACAATCCTTTGCGTTAAACAGTCATTGCTGAGGCAGGTGTATAAAGACAGCAGTATACCCTTGGATCTCTCTTAGATTTGCTACCGCATAGACATGTAGAAAATTTACTGTTGAATTAACTGGGTTAACTGGATTGGTTTAAAATGACTGAGTAAACTCTGGCTGTTTCTCGTGCACCCTCGAGGGACCCATCCATTGTTGTGTATTGTACACTACTCCAAATCAAAGCATTCAAAAATTAAGTGCGGTTTGCAAGATTGATGAAGAAGCCATATGTTCCCTATTAAGTCGAGAAAGACAAAAATGTATAATTACGCCATTTAATGTACTTATCAAATATTTTCAGTTAGTCTATGAAAATCCACTAAAGCGATTAGGAATTACGACAACAATACAGAAGGGATTTTTGGGGGCTGCAAAATTGTTAACGTGACATGGCAAAAAACAGGCATTAGGAAAGAAAACTGCCACTTGAAAAAAATATAATAATAATAATAAAAATAAAAATGCAGATTACTATCAGCAAAACAAAGTCTAAAATGTATTACTTTCTAACGATTTTGTTGGCAGCTGCAGATTTAAATGACCGTGTTATTTCAGAAGTTGGATAAAAAGTTAATTGCTTAGTCAAAGACTTTATGGATTGATGAGCAAAAATCTTTGACGTTCTTACGAAAGTGACGAAGAGATCGGCTTAATTAAAGCGCTTGAGGGCCCCAGCACGAGGAATGGCTTTAAATGCCGATATTGGAGGAACTGTATTTTCTTGCGTGATAAGTAAGTTGTCCATCTGAAGACAATCTGCACTTATGTCAAGCAATTACCTCAACCAGTGGAGTCCTGTGATAAACAGACAGAGGTAAATGTTTTACTAACATCAGTTTCCATCAGAAACCAGTATGCCTTTAAGAGGATCAAGTTAGCTTTTCGAAAAGTTCTTTTTAAATAAATAATTGAATATGATGATCTTAAACTTAACATGTGGCCAGGCTTTGGACATACAAATAGTTTTACATTATCTACAAGCATTAAATTACCTTTTAAACAAGTCTTCTCTGATTTCTATAGCTGCAGTTTATAGGCGGAAGTCTTGCAGATCTGGAAACAGTTGCTTTATGCCAAAAAGCCCAAGAAGCGCTTACAGATCTAGTAGTGTGCTCTTTTATAGGAAAGTGTGGAACCCGATTCTTAAGACTTTAAGCTTGGATGATGTTATGTCTGAGTAACCTAGAAATGGTGAAGCAAGAAGCTGGTTCCACTTTATGGGGACCATCAGGAATGACAAAGAGAAAGTCAGCCTTTCGAACAGAAGCAGTGGCTTTGAGATAGACAAGCTCAGTAAGCACTACATCAAGACAATGAAGGGAGGTCTCCTTATGATGCACTGGAGTCAGACAGGGACATATAAGAACAATGTTCTGTTTGAGGTGAAAAGCCAAAACCACCTTAGAACAGAAGGAGGCTTTAGGCTTTAAACACCTTATCCTTGTATAACACCAAAAATGGTTCTTTACAGGACAAAGCTGCCAGCTGTCAGGGAATGTCAGTCAATATCCATAGTGCAGCTTCTGCACGTATTAATGCATGAAGAAAGTGTTACGGTACCAATATTGCACATGCATATGCACATAAACGTGCCAAAGCGCGCATCCGTAAGTCACAGCACGCACGTGCTGACATGCACACACACACATTCCTACCAGTGGCGCCAAACGGGGTATTTAAGGTTGCTTGTTGCAGTTGCACCTTGCTGAGAGATCTTCAGCTGTTCCATGCTATTGTCTGACTCTGCTCCCGAATCTGTATTTGACCCGGCTTGTTTCTTGATCCTGCTGTGGCTTCCTGCCTTCTGACCCCAGCTTACCCACTGACCATTCTTCTGCATTTCAAATGTTGTAGCGCTCTGCTCACACGTTGCTGACCCCGGCCTGCCTTCTGGCATTGCCCTGCTTCTTGTCTTTGTACTTCACCTGCTTGCAAGCTACTGATCCGGCCTGTCTCTGATTCTGCTCCCTCTGCCAATCCTGGTGCTACCCACTCACTGCTGGCATCCTCACCTGATGGTCAGCTTCTTCTACCACATTCAGGGTCCAGATCTCTGCAATATCTACCCTACCGTGTACAGCATCAGCTTCAGGCACTCGTGCCTCTCTCCTTCTGCAGACCTTCTGTTTCATCTCCAGGGGTACTCAAATGGGAGCTGCAAGGGGAGGCCTTCCTCATCAATTCAGGCTCATACCAAGGTATGTGACACCAGCTCAGACACATGCCTCGCAGAATTGATGGTGACAAGGAAAGAAACCTTAAATGGAAGGAGGACTATCACTAATAGGTTCAAAAGATGTGTTTTGAGGTACTGAGAGAACCAAATGCAGGCCTCATGGAGTCACAGGTAAATGTACAGGGAGTGCTTCATGAGGGACCCACTAATAAAAGGTTTTAAACAAAGAATTGGAGACTAGCAGCCTTTGTAACAAAATTGCATGTGCTAAGATTTGGCCCTTGATGGTACTCAGGGACATTTGTTGATCCAGGCCTGATTGTAAAAAGGTGAGGATTCATCTCAAGGACCGTTTCCTGGGGGAAAAGCTTGTTTCTTTGCACCAAGTGAAGTATGCCTTACATGTGTGTTTGTAACGAACAAATACACTGAACATACTACAGCAGAGGTTAAGAGCAGTCTTTATTAAGC